TGGATGAAACGCATTTTATGCGAGGTCATAAATGTGTCACGCATTTAGCACTTGCGTGGTAACGAATTATCACAAAATCAGGGGAAGCGTATTTAAAGTTAGAAGAAATTGGTTTTATTAAAAATATAAAAACGGTATACAGTAGCTTGAGTCATTAGGGAGCTTTCTTTATCTCATTCGAGAATCAATTCACAGAGAAAATTTCTCCTTTCCGACCTAAAACCACCCAGCCAACCACGCACTTGTAGAATCTAGTAGTCGCGAGCAGTCTTGCGAGTTTATTGTTACATCCAACCGTTTAAAATGTGACGGGAACCCGAAGGGTTCCGTAACAATACCGTATACACTCGCGTAGGTCCTAAGGTGACCCGTGTATAAGACGACCCCCGAGTTTTAGAAGATTTTTGGTTGATATTTGTATGTCTGGCGTATAAGACGACTCCCTGTCTCATGGTCGGAATTCCTAATTTTTTGTGGTCCTGTATACTGCGTCTAGCTGGATAAATGGAGCCAAATGCAAGGGTAATCTTCCAAATAATACCATTTTATGAGTTTTTAAATCTTCACCACCAAAATCGTATTTTCCCATATTTAAAATTGCTTTCATTGATACAACATTTAGTTGCTTCATTGCGTAGTAAGTTCGCGTGTTAAGCTGGTTTTCCACTAAGCGAATTTATTCGCGCAAATCAAAGAGTCGGCTCGCTTCCTTTCTCAAAAACTCCGATAGGAATATGAACGAATGCGCATGTGCATAAGCCGACGCTTTGGATTCGCGTGAATAAATTTGCCTAGTAGAAAACCAGATTTACGGACGACAAGACAAACATGAATATAAAAATCAAAAATCTGAATGTCGTGCGTATAAGACGACTCCCTTTTTTCAATCGTAATTTGCTATTTTAAGCCTCGTTTATACGTGCATATAGGCCTATACGCCATTTGTTTTAAAACCCTAGGTCACCTGAGCGTTAAAGGATTCCCCATACAGTGGCGGATTCAAGGGGGAAATTTTCCATGGGAAGGACCCCCGTACCCCCTTTCATTTTGGGTATTTTTGGAAACGTTTTGAACCCCCTCTTCCAAAATATGGATCCGCCCCTGAATCATGTACCTTTGTTTGCACTAAATACTTAATTTATGTTCCCCATTTAGCTGATGTGAGGTAAGAGAGTTTATTTAAAAGAACAGTTACATTTAATAATTTAAATTGTTCGGATGAAATACATATTTTTTTAAGTTCAATGCAAGTTTGTACCATACTGTGTGTCTTTGTATATGTTCCATTCTAGTGGAGGTTCTATCTCTTTTGAATTTCTTTTGAATATAAATTAAATACTACTTAATTGATTTATTATTGCCCACTTGAATTGTATAGCCCTAGGTGCTGCA